GGTTGACGTGTATGTGGATCTCGTTGACGATTCTGTGGTCGTTGTGGACATTATTGACCGTGTTGGAGATGTTGTTCCCGGATACGTTTATCGTCGCGCTACCGGCGCCTTCAGTAGGAGTTACCGTCCTCTTTCGTGAGCCCCTTGGCGCACCGACCTCCTGAAATTCCCCCTTCTCCGCGATCAAGACTCCGTCTCGATACTCGAATGTTTGGGGAATTTCACTTGGTCCGAACCGTTCCAGGAGTCGGAGCACCTTCGACGGGGTCATGCGGACGCCCTTGGCGTTTGTTCGCACGTACAAAATACGTTGTTGGCTGTTGAGCTCGAACAAGCCACAAAAGCCGACCCGGTAGCACCGGCGTAGACATCCAAAGATGTCGGCCACGTCCGGAATGGGAGCATCAGCCTCGAACTTTACAGCCAGTCTTGTCCAGGTCGGCATGTTGATACAGGTTTAATTTTTGTTGTCGGGTGGGGGACGAAACACGTGACCAGAATCAACCGTTGACATTTCCTCTGGTGGCTTGGAGCGACCCAAAACTACCCCAGACAGAAAAAAAAAATTGGAAGCATAAAGATCAAATCTCGCGAGATTCCGGCTTCGTTTTCCGCGCTAGGAATTTCGAGATTACGGTGATTTTTTGTACCGTGGTGCGGTCCCGACCCCGTACATAGGTGCTGCTCGTTCCAGTCCTCTAGCTAGGAGTGCCATTATTGGTGGGAAAGGCCTAATTATATTACCCCGTGAAAGAGATGGCATGATGCGGGCGAATCATGCCTCGGTCACATCGAAATGCTGTGGTTTGTGTGTTTTTAGCTGCCGGGGATGTCTCGGCGCACGGGGATGCACCGAAGACACGGCTGAAGGGTGGGTGGGCGGGCAACACGGAAGCGCAGAAGCTTCTAAACACACAGGTAAAGCGGGCAGCGCTGCAGGCGGTAGATAGTGCGAACTCGAGGATCAACGCTGTAGATCCGAGGATGACGGTGACTTGCAAATTTATGGTGTTTGTGGCGGAGCAATCGTTTCTCCCAGTAACTACATTTGGAAGATCGCTTCCAAAGCAAAGCGAAGCGAGCTGGGGAAATTCGTATACGCCTTTCGCTTGGCCAACATAGCACACATCCGTCTGTAAAATTCAATTTACAGACGATAGGCAGCAACAGAGCCTTCGTACTTCCATAGCACACATCCGTCTGTAAAATTCAATTTACAGACCATCGCCTGCAACGAAGCCTTGGGACTTATCATAGAACACATCCGTCTGTAAAATTCAATTTACAGACGATAGGCAGCAACAGAGCCTTCGGCCTTATCATAGCACACATCCGTCTGTAAAATTCGATTTTACAGACGATAGGCAGCAACAGAGCCTTCGGCCTTACCATAGCACACATCCGTCTGTAAAATTCAATTTACACACGATAGGCAGCAACAGAGCCTTCGGCCTTCCATAGCACACATCCGTCTGTAAAATTCAATTTACAGACGATCGTCTGCAACAGAGCCTTCAGCCTTCCATAGCACACATCCGTCTGTAAAATTCAATTTACTGACCATCGTCTGCAACAAAGCCTTGGGGCTTACCATAGCACACATCCGTCTGTAAAATTCGATTTACTGACCATCGTCTGCAACAAAGCCTTCTGCCTTCCATAGCACACATTCCTCAATTTGTCGTGCCTTTCGTAGGCAATGCGAAATCTAGTACGTGCTGCATGCGTACTCGGCGCCATGGTGCAAAGCGTGTGCTCGCGACCGCTTAGGACCACCCTGCGGTGGTCCTAAGCTTCAACCCCCCGAATATATCTTTTGCCCCCCCCCACAACATATGTTTTCAAAACATCGACAAGGGAACGAACAGTGAATTATAGGGTTTCAGGGTCATTCAAAACATCGCAAGACCCGAGCGTGCTGATGAAGGAGGCATCTGTACATGTATTACGCAGTTAACTGTAAAACCGGCATCTTGAACCGTGCTGTTTGCTAGCTCGATTAAGAGGAAAGCAATTGCCTCCATAACATACGTTTTTCAAAGTATCGACGAAGGAACAAATAGTAGATTACGGGGTTGCCGCCTAGCTCGTCATACTGCAAGGCATATGAGTACTGCTAAAGGGGATTTTGCTCACAGCCCGTACATGCGTTCTGTGGTTGACCCAACAATTCGAAAGTAAAATCCGCGCGTACTGCTGAAAAGTGCCTATTTTTTTTTTTTTCAGAAGCGATTCAACATCTTGACAACACTGAGTTTTCCCAAATTCATTTTGTCAATAGTTGTATCAGGAAGGAAAATGTGCACGCAATGCAACTGACTAGCACACAATCCTCGAGGGAAAAGGGCTTTCTACTCTTTTCAAAACGCTGGTACCGTTCAGGTGTGGCTGCACGTGCTTAACGAGCCTTCGGCCTACCATAGCACACATCCGCCTGTATAATTCACCCCCCTCCCCCGCTCGTGCTTTGACCACCCGTTGCTGTGTTCACCGCCGTGGACGTCCGATCAGCACGCTGGACTCCGCTGGCTCCCCCTCCCCCTTTCGTATATTGACCATCCTGTCATGTGTTCACAACCGTGGACGTCCGAACAGCCCGCATGTGGGGGACACCTGTACGCAAAAACAAGGGCGGGGGCGGCCATGATTGTGTTGGTGATTCGCATCGTTTTTTATCGGCGCAAGTTTCAATACCTGGATAAACTACAGTAGGGCCATTTTTTGTATGAATTTAGATGAAGGGCGCCCTTGGTTACCCCTACTTTTGCCTCGGCAGTACAAATACGCTGATTTATGCCCCATTTTCATGTAAAAATGGCCATATTTCGAGTATTTCTACGATTAATAGGGCCGAATTTCCTTGACTACCGCTCGAACACGACTTAAAACCTAGGTTCAAAGCTGTGATCAAGGAAAGTCGGCCAGAATTGGGTGGTTCTATGCCACGTGGGAAAGAGGGGCGCCTCGCTCGGGCTCACATCCGTGTCGCTCGATAGATACGTGTTGCACTGGCTCTCGCTGGATACGTACTCGGAGGGGGATGGAATGCGTGGCATTGTCGGCGTTTAAATGCGTAGAAACAAAACATTTCTATGATTGAGCAACGTCGTTAATCGAAAGTAGTGGCGCCTATTTCGCCAGTACCAAGAAGCTAATAATACTGCCACTGAACGCTGGGTTAG